TAAACATGACAAAGGATAGAAATCATCAACCCATAAGTGAGGGCAGAGAGTACATTCCATGGTTAGGGGACCTGAGAATCAAAGGAACTCCATAGGGGGGTGATGGAGGGCACTGAGGGAGACACAGAAGGCAGGGGTGGGAGCAGTTCAGGGGGCCTTGATTTGCAGAGTGATGAGCACTGGATATAAGAAGTGAGAGCTCCTTTCCCAGCCTTAGACCTTAGATTGACTTCTCATTACTAGGCTATTGAATTCTTCAGCCGCACCAGCCAAGGGATGCCAAACATTCATGTTAATTTGGGTAAATCCTAAATCCTTCCAGCAATCTGCTATCAACTTGAGTACAATGACAATTAGCATATCAATTAGATTTCTCTCCTCTCTCTCTCTCTGCCCCCACCCCACCTCCATGCCACTCCCATCCTAAACCACTTACTACTTTTAAAAGTCAGCCAAGCCTGTAATGTCAGCTACTCCTGGAGGATCACTTGAAGCCAGGAGTTCAAGACCAGCATGGGCAACATAGCAAGACCCTGTCTTTAAAAAAAATTTTGTTTTTTTAATTAACTGGGCCTGGTGGTCCATGCCTGTAGTCCCACTTAGCTATTTTGAGAACTGAGGCAAGGGTGTTGACTGAACTCAGGTGGTTGAGGCTGCAGTTAGCTATGGTTGCACCACTATACTCCAGCCTGGGCAAGAGAGAAAGACACTGTCTCCAAAGAAAAGTCAATAACACTAACACATCTCCTTTTCTTCAGTCTCTGAGAGCTTTGCAGCCAGAACTCTACACCAGGGTGGGTTACTATGGGAATAATAACCAGTGAGACAAAAGATGGTTCTTAATTCACTTTACAAATCAGCAGAACAAAAGGGAAGAACCATTGCTTTATTTCCAATAGGCCAAGGTGACCTCCAACTCCAAATAACACAGGTTGCTTTTAATGAATGAAACACATGTAGGAACCAGTATAGCCAGAAAGAATTAGACTCAGACATCCTGGGTCTTAATCCTGGCACTACCACTTGCCAGTCCCAAGTTTCTCAACATCTTTCTGCCTCCGCTTTCTGATCTCAGTAGGCTGGACAATGGGGATCTTTTGAGGAGTCGCTGTGTTAATATAAGTAAAGCAAGTAGAATGTCACCAGCAGCAGGTGGTGAACAACTGTAAGACAGGTTGTGTGTGCTCATGAACAAACAGGAGCCCTGAGGATGACCTGCCCAAGGTTTGCTTGTTTTTCTGTTCAATACCAGTTTTACTGAGACATATTTAGCATACTATAAAGCTCACCCGGTTAAGATATATGATTCCCTGGTTTTAGGTATATTTACAGAGAGTTACGTAATCACCAACACTATCTAGCTCTAGAGCATGTTCATCTTCCCCAAAGCAATTCTATACCCATTAGTGGTGACTCCCCATTTCCTCCTGCCCCAGCCCTAGACAGCTTCTAATCTGCTTTGTGTCTCTATGGATTTGAGTTTTCTGGACAGTTTGTTCCATTTCATGGAATCATACAACATGTGGCCTTGTGTGTCTGGAACTGTCTTGAGTTTGAATCTCAGCCCTAGAGTCCTAAAGCTTTATTAGGTTCTTTCACTAAGTTGTCCTGAAGTTTCCCCATCTATGAAGTGGGATTAAAACTATAGTAGATATCCTACAGAGTCATTATGAGGATTAAACGTGCTGATTTATACATCTAAAGTACTCACACCAGGCCTGGTTCAAAATCAGCGCCACACTGATACCAGCTACTATTACTGCCACTGCTACTATTATTATTCCTCAGTTCCCCCGTCCCAAAGCATCTGACTGGTAGTGGGAATCCACAGATAAATGGAACAAACAGAGAGAAGAGGTCTTGCCTTACTTAATGCACAGTCTGATGGAGACCGTACGATTAGGAATCTGGCTTAAATGAATACAGTGAAGTCTCATCATATGCACATTTAACTAATGGAAAGCCAGCTCTTCTACCAAAAAGAGAGAGAAAAAGAACAATGTAAATACTGCAATTAAATGCTATAAAATTATATCTTGCATATATTCTTTATTATGCTATGTACATTACTGCATGCATTATACATTGTTCCCTATTGATTACAATATGGGGATGCATACACTAAACCATGCCCACTGCACACTTTAATGGGTAACTTAAAAGATTTCAAGGTTAATGACAACTGTGTTTGCCTTAAACCCTGACCTTATAGTCTAACCTCTGAGTTAAATGCAACTCTATTGTGTGTCAACAACAATAGCAATTCAGAATGTTTCCAGACGAATTAAATCAGCCAACAAGCTGTCCACTGAGTTAGGTGTTAGGCTGCAATGGGTCCCGACTCATCAACACCCATTTGCCAAGCACCATTTTTTTTTTTTTTTGCCCTCCATGAGCTGTTAGCTTCATTTCAAAAATAAACCACATAGGGGTGTCATAAGGAGTTGGTGAATGGAAGAACTGGGTTTGGGAAGTAGATGGAAATAATCTCTCACCCTCCAGCCAATAGGGAAGGCAAGTACCATGACCTCTCCCTGTCGCTGTCGACACCCTTGCCTGCTTTCTCATTCTTCCTGGCACTCATCACCCTCCTGCAGACATCACATACCTAGCTGTTCATTTTTTTATTGTCTCTCCCCCAGCCATTACATAAGCTCACAAGGGCAGGGGCTTGGCCTGTCTTACTCATTTCTGTATTTCCAGTGCCTAGAAAAGTGTTGAGCAGTCAGTCAGTGCTGAGTAATATTTGTTGATAAATGACTTAATGCGTGAATGAGGGTAACTGTTTAGACAGCCTCCACTTTTCTCCCATCTCCTGTCCCTAAAACATCCATAGTTCATTCCTTTGACCTCAACTGGCTTATTTACTCAATGTTGAAAAGTACTGAGAATGTATCACATGTCAAAGATGAGGCCCTAAGGTAGCATTCTAGGGCTTTGGCATACTGGTACCATCTAGTGGGAAAGAGAATATCTGCAGGTGGGTGCTTAACCAAATTCAGAAGGTTTTAAAAACTACCGCTACCATAACTCTTTCTGTTACCCATTAGCTCTACTGAGGAAGTTTCCATTAATGCATAATGGTGGCAAGAGAAATCTCGTATATTCACGCCCTACCCAGGGCATATACGGACAGTCCAACAACTTGCCATACGTTTCCATTTTTCCTGCTATGATGCTTCCCAAGTCATGGCTGCTCCCCATGACAGCAAAGACTCAGCAGGGAAGCACAGATAAGTTAATGATGGCAGGGGTCACTCCTGCCCAGCAGAAGATAAGGACAGGTGAATACACCCCCAGCCAACTATTCTGCAGAGGGGTCATTGTGAAATGAGCTTTACACAGTGCTTTTGTAGAGACCCAGCAGCAATGAGTCAGTTTCCCATGACTGTGACCAGCTCAATGACACATTCACTGTTGGCTTGCTGGCTATCCTTCTTCTTGGTCTCACTCTCCCAACTCTCTCACTTATGGGCCTTGAGATCATTTCCCAACTTAGCCCCCTGAACCCAATTCTGTGTCTCTATTTCTTTAGAGGAATTCAATCCAAGAGAGTGTTTAACCCCGAGATACTTGTGGGTAGCAAGAGTGCCTTAAAAATTGTAGTCCAGATAATTATTACAAAGCTAAATTATTCCTATGTTAGAGCTAGTCTGAGAATTATGTTCCATAGTTGAATACCAACATCTTTACCTTGATACAAGTTAATGTGAATAATCTCATGATACGTGACCCTAAAGAAGTACTATGATTTTCATGGCAACTAAGGCCAAAGAGAATGCCTGGTCCCCTTTGCTGGCCTCTGCCCTATCCCTGTCTAAACAAGCTTGACCAGCTGGTAAGGGAGCTACTGGTTTAGATTAGTGGTTGGCAAACAGCAGCCTGAGGGCCAAATCTAGCTCTGCTTGTGTTTGTAAATAACATTTTATTGCCCTGCCCATTCGTTTACATATTGACTGTGGCTGCTTTAATGCTACACTGATAGAATTGAATAGTTGCAAGAGAAACCAGCTAGATATCTCATTACAGAAAAAGGATACCTACCCTGGTTTATATCATTGGTTGCCATGTTTATAAATTCCCAACAGTAAAATTTGAACACAAACAAAAAGTAGAGAGTTGACAAAAGTTGACCAACAACACTTTATCAGTAAGGACAAAAACGCCATCTAGGTATTACTAACTTCATTTCACAAATGGTAGCACATTTCATCTCTACACCATAGAAAGGCCATTCCATCAGAACAAAGAATCCTCTATCCCAAGAGAGGGTGGTGGACAAGCTCAGAACAACTCTGTCTATCACTCTATCCCATTTGAACATTTTTCTACAGCACTATCACTACGCAAAACTACCATATTTATTTATTTTTCTTGTTGATTGTCTTTCTCCGCTATGAGAACACAAACTCCAAGGAGGGAAGGCAATCTTGTCTTTCTTAATCACTGCTGCCTCCCCCAATGCTGAGAACTGTGCTTGAGATATTGTCTTCCCTCAGTAAATATTTGTTAAATGAATGAGTTAACCAAATAGGGAATGCACAGATAGGCACGGCCACCGAGTGGCGGGACGGTGCACAGCGTGGTGAGGACCCTGTCAAAGGGGAGAGTGTCTGTCCACCAGAACGGGCTTGGAGGGCAAAGGCCATGCTCTTGCTGCTCTGTGGCCAGTATGGAAAACGGAGCTGGGTACATAATAAGCACTCAATACGTGTTTGCTGAATCAATGGCAACCCTCACTAAAGCACTTAAAAGGAAAAAAACACTGGTCTGGTAAGACAAAAATAAACTTCAAGTTAGATTCAATCCAATTGCCACACCGTATAGATCCATGTGTCTCTACATAGCTACAGGCTGTATATTTCTTGTTTTCTTTTTGTTTGGGGAAAACATTACAAAAAGTAACTTGCAGAAAGCACTGACTTAGGCAACAGGGTTTCTTAGCACCCCTAGGGAAGAATGCCATCCAGCTGCAGGACACAGCAGCAGGCAGAATTTACCTGCATGGTTGAAGTTGCAGGTGAGCCATGCCCAGGCATCTGTGGGCCATTCTCACTGGGATGTTCTTGCTGGGGAAACCATGCAGTGCAGGTGGGTTTTTTGGCCCTGGTCAAAAGCAAGGACCCGGAGACAAAGAACACAAACGACCCTGGGCTAACCCAGTTCTGAAGGTTGCAATCAGGAGCCCAGACAGGAAGCCCAGGGCCCAGATCCACTTTGAGAGACCAGGAACTCAAATGAGAGGTCATCCCAGGCAGCTACCTTGACTTTAAGGGAGCTGGAGATCAAAATAGACAAAGGAAATAATTTTTATATAATGAGGGGAGTGGGAAAGGAAACTTTTATATACTAGTGCAACATAGAGGAAAATAAATATGTACAGGAATAAAGATGTATGGGTACAAACCATGGTCCCAGTTCTCAGTGACTGTGTGGCCTTGAGCAAATGACTCCACCACTCAGAACTTCTCATCATACATAAAATTGGGAATAAGAGTCGCCTCTAAAGGTTGCAGGAAGGATTCCAGATAACATGGGTAACTAGTGCATAGCAGCTACAGTAAATTGTGGTTACATGGAGGGACTTTAAAAAAGTACTCATGGCACTGGTGCACACATTTGTGCACACACACACACACACACACATACTGCCCTAATAGAGCCTCCTGGGAACAGCTGATGGGCACATACATTAAGAAGATGAGATCCCAATTTTTTTAGCAAAGACTTGGAATCAACCCAAATGTCCATCAGTGACAGACTGGATTAAGAAAATGTGGCATATATACACCATGGAATACTATGCAGCCATAAAAAACGATGAGTTCATGTCCTTTGTAGGGACATGGATGCAGCTGGAAACCATCATTCTCAGGAAACTATTGCAAGAACAGAAAACCAAATACCGCATGTTCTCATTCATAGGTGGGAACTGAACAATGAGATCACTTGGACACAGGAAGGGGAACATCACACACCGGGTCCTATTGTGGGGAGGGGGGAGGGGGGCGGGATAGCATTAGGAGATATACCTAATGTAAATGACAAGTTAATGGGTGCAGCACACCGACATGGCACATGTATACATATGTAACAAACCTGTACATTGTGCACATGTACCCTAGAACTTAAAGTATAATAATAAAAAAAAAAGGAAGATGAGATCCCACCAGATCAAATGATTTTATGAGGCATGAATCCCCAGGGGAACAATCTTGGGGGACCTACTAATATGGGAATTGGCAAATCCTCCCTGGGGAGCAAACTTTATTATTATTTTTTAATGTCCATGCATTATAAAATACACAGTCATTTCCCCCATTAAGTTAGTCACATCCTGAAAGCCAAGGCCCCATGACACCTTTAGACCATAAACTTCCTTGGGGAACAGGTTGAAAAGTAATACAACCAACATTTCTTAAGCATAGGATGGCATCATTAGCATACACTTATTTAATTCTCACAAAAATCCTGCAGGGCAAGCACAGATTTTCCTTTTTAGTTGTTTTAATACAGGGGAAAACAGACAAGGAGGGAAATGAAGTCACCTATCTGAGGCAACACAGTGTGTAAATGGCTGGGTAGGGATTCAAGCTCACTTCCAAAGGGCTAGGAGGTCTCCCTAATGCCCCTAAGCAGTCCAAGGCACCAGCAGCTCTGGGTCCAGGCAGCCCCTGGCTCTAACTCTGCTCCAGCGCATTTCCTGGTGAGGGCCCAGATTGCCGTGCTCACCTCTGGGTTCCCAGATTTGCAGCATTCTTCATACTTGGTAGGTATTCACATTTAAGGGAAGAAGGAAGAAAAAAAGACGGCAGAAAGAGGGAGGCAAGGCAGATGAAAGGAACCAAAGGAGGGCACAGCAGCCTCTCCTCCCTTTAGTCTATTTCAGCCTCTACTGTTTCCTATTGTAACAATTACCACATTTGTAATTATTTCAACTACTTACTTGTTTTTATCTGCTGCTCCCACAAGACTATAAGCTCCATGAGACACGGATTCAGTTCATCTTGTTTACCTCTGAATTCCCTAAATGCTCAATAAATACTTGCTAAGTGAAGACATGGGCCCCAGGTGGACTCGCCCACGCACAGACCCAGGTGCAAATCCCAGCTCACCACTTGTTATTCTGTGATCTTGGGCCAGTTCCTTAAACTCACCAGTTTCTTTATCTGTTAAAAGGGCACAGTAACTATACAGACCTCACCTTCTGAGGATAAAGTACCTAGGAAAGTGCCTGGCATACAGCACTCACTAAGTATCTTTGTTGAGGAAAGCAGGAAGAAAAGAAGGGAAAGACAGCAGGAAAACAAGATAGACACGTTGAGAATCAATACTGCCACAGAACGCAATAATCTTTCTTACTGCAAAAATATGCAGAACTGCAAGGAGCAGAGGTACACCCTCTGTTTCTCACACACCAAACTTCATTCAGTGGCTGAGTCAAACTCACTAAGTGTTTTTACAGGGCCCAGTTAGACAGCTGTAGAATCCTGGCCAAAGGACCTGTTTCCTTATAAGTGATAATGATTTAGATAACCTGCATGCATCTTTGCAGCAAATTAGACTTCCCTGCATTCTAACATCTTTTTACTCACTTGAACCTCCAAGAAACCTGGTCCATTTTACAGATGAAAACATTGAAGCTGCTTGCTGAAGATCACACCATGAGTGAGGGGGTCAGCTAGAAACAGGATCCAGGTCCATGGTGTGCTGGAGCCAGTTAGTATCAGGTTGCAAGAGCCCATTGTTAAATTTTTAGGAAACCCTCAGGTTAGTAGATTCAAATTGCCCATGATGGGAGTATTTACACCACAGAAATTGGCAAGAGCTACAAATTACTTGGTTGTATCTTGGTTTGGGTTTTGCTTTTTGGTTGGGTATTTCTTTAGAGTGGCCCCATTGTTAAACATTTACCAATATACCACTGCCTGGCACCCAGTTGAATATTCTCCTACTACACCAAAAACATAAGTCACCAAGGCTACACCCAACATGCTGAAAGAGGCTCATTAGCATTCACAAAGTGATTGCTGAGGGTAGGAGATCATTATTTGCTTCATGTAAGGATTATTTCCATTGCTGCTGATGGAATGTTCAAGAAAGGATTAAAGGGCTTGGCAATGTTTCTCTTAAATATCTTGTGCATGAAAAGTCTCAGAGATTGGTTAATTATAGGGGCTGCACCTCGGTCACTTTATTCAAGGGCATTTCCAGGCCCCCACAGTGGCCATCCCAGATGCAAGCATGGACTGGATCTGCTGGCAATACTGTAATGCAGGTCTTAGGTGCCTCTCCCAGGAACGTTCTGCAGCCTGGATTCCACTCCCATGTAGAGAAGCCCTCAGACCGACCCTGTTTACAATGTCTAACACCTGGTCTCCTTGTTTGACTCTTCCTGCCAATTGGAAGAGTCAGAACTCAAGCTGGCATCCTTAACCTCTCCCCGGCCCTGCCATCTCCATACCCAGCCACCATCAAGGCCTGTCAAGTTATCCGCCTATATGTCTCTTGGATTATCTGAATAGGATTTAGTCCATTCTCGCATTGCTATAAAGAACTGCCTGGGACTGGGTAATTTATAAAGACAAGAGGTTCAATTGGCTTGCAATGCTGCATGCTGTAGAGAAAGTATGGCTGTAAAGGCCTCAGGAAACTTACAACCATGTCAGAAGGAGAAGGAGAAGGAGGCACATCTTCACACAGCAAGCAAGAGAGAGAGGGGGCACAAAGGGGGAAGTGCTATACACTTTCAAACAACTAGGTCTTGTGAGAATTCACTCACTATCACGACAACAGCAAGGGGAAATCCGCCCTCATGATCACCTAATCACCTCCCACTGTGCTTCACCTCCAACATTAGGGATTACAATTTGACATGAGATTTGGCTGGGGACATAGACCCAAACCATATCAGTCTACTTCGCTCATCTGCCCCATCTCTGTACCATCATTCCTGAATCCAGCGTCCCATGATCTCAGCCCTAGACCAGACTTTCCTTTCCATTCTTACCCAGCTCCAACCCATTTGCTACTTATAGCCAGAATGCAAATCTGATCACGTCACTCTGTACCTTTCCCTCATTACCCTCAATGGCTGCCACTTGCTCTGAGAAAAACACCAATATCCTTGCAGTGGTTGACAAGGCCCCATCGACTCTGGCACCTCCCAGCCACACTTCACACCACTGCCTTGGCTGTGTGGTGTTTCCCCTAAATAGAGGCTTCACCCAGACTGTGTCTTCTTCCTGGAATGCCTTTCCCCACCCACGCCCTCTATTGTGTCTTTGTCTGGAAGCCCTACTGCTCCTCCAGATTTGGGCTCAAGCATCAGGTTGTCAAGGAAGTCGCCCAGATCCTTCATCTGCCTCTGATGTCTTTCTTGTATTCATTCATTCGTTCATTCATGTTTGCTGAGTATCTACTATGTGCCAGGCACTGTTCTAAGCCCTGGGAGTATAGAAGTGAACAAATCAAGCCACAATGTGTGCCACAACGGAGCTTATAGTCTAGTGGAGGAGAAAGACAAAGAACACCTAGGCAAAATATTTAGGACGGCATGACCTCACACAGCTGGGCTTCCTTCCCTCATCGCGATTGTCTCCATCTTAAATTATTCATTAATTGCTATTGATCCTTCCTGCCAGGCTGTGAGCCCCGAGCAGAGACTCAGTCTGCCTTATTAGCAGCTGTATCCTGAACACACAAGTGGTGCTTGGAACATAGTAGGTCCTCCACAGAGATCATAGGTATTTACTGGAGCCATTTGGTCTCAGGTGAATCTCCCTGAACTCAAGTTGCTTGAGTGCTTGGGGCCTGGGAGGAAAAGTCCCTAATGGCTGAACTTCTCAGGCCCCCCCTTATATTAGAAGACTCCCAGAAGCCTCTTTGGCTGTAACTTTAAGTTAGATAAAGAGTCAGGAAACTTTTTCTCTAAGGGACTAAATAGTAAATATTTTCAGCTTCGGGGGCCAGACAGTCTCAACTCTGTTGTTATAGCACAAAGGCAGCCATAAACAATTATATAAATGAATAGGTGTGGCTATCATCCAATAAAACTATTTATAAAACCAGGCTGCAGGCAGAAATTGGCTCACGGGCCATAATTT